CAATCAACGGCGAGTGCAGGTGACAGATTGTCCTATTTTCAAAATTTAATTGTTCTGTACAAGTCGTGAAATGTATCTTTTAGTTATTAATAATATAAAATAGCATCTATCTAGACAAGTGCCTGTTGAGAAACAAACCCCAAATAGGCCTATAATGAATGACTATTACATAGACCTAATTTATTTTTTACTCGCACTGCCCATTCGCACCATGCATGGAAGGAGGGGGACCTTATTTATTTTTCACAAAATAAACAAAACTAGCAAAGAAAATTAAAAAACATGAAACCAAACACAGTTGAAAACGAAAAAACGTAATAATTTAAAATGCAAAAACGATAATAATAGGCCTAATAATAATTTATGGGCTAATCTTATGATCCATCATGTTTTAAAGAGACAATTACACGCCCATGCTTTGAACAAACGCCCCCTCGAATAAACGACCCCTCCAAAAGGCCAATTGGAATAAACGCCCCGGGGGTTTTATTTTTTTTATTTTTTTATTTTTTTTAGTACATTTATTTATTTATTCAGAAAAAAATTCACAACAAATTACAAATTGCAAATTATTTACATAGGCATCAAAAGAAGCGGTGGCTTGTCAGCTTGAATACCAAACATACAAAACATACACGCACAGAATACATAGTAAACACATCAACATTTGAATTTTTAAATTTGGGATCGCCCACAATTGCCAGCACCTCCAGGAAGGGGAAATGCCTCAGTGATCATCACGTCAATTTTTGGATCCAAATGAATTTCTTCGATTACGCGCCCCACACCCCCCAAATAACTATGGACGGATGTAATGGAAGCACCATCATTTTTTATAAGCCATGTAAAAACACTTTTAAACATTATGCACTGTACACTACTTTTTTAATATCTTTCAATTTTACTTTTTAATGTTGTCTGTGTTTTATTTTTTATTTTCACTTATTGCTTGATGTATTTAAATGTTGGATTTAATTTTTAGATGTTCATTCTGTTATTTATCTTGTAATTAATTAATGTTTGCATTGTTAATTTTTAACAAAATGTCATGTTTTTCTGTAATTTTATTAATTATAATATGATAATATAAAATTAATGTATTTTATTGTAAATATAGTGTAATTCAGCCGTAAGGCTGCGATGTCGATGTGTTTTTAAATAAAAGAATTAAAGAAAGAAAAGAAATTTAGGGGCATTTATTTGGGAATGTAGGCCTATGCATCCATTTTACACCCAAAAATTAAACGCCTCCCCGAATACCAGTAAACGCCTCCTCAAAACGAATCTGAACAATAAACGCCCCGGGGCGTTTATTCGAATAAATGCGGTATATTATCTGTCTCTTATACACATCTAGATGTGTATAAGAGACAGGTATACACACAAAAGAGTTTAATCAAAACATTCTATAACAAAAATCATGTGTGTAATGGTTTGTGAGGTAAAACCACTGGTTGGTTGTCTTGACGTTTCGGTGAGATTGCTCTGACCCTCATTATTCTAATGTACAAAGACATGCATCAATACCGTATATTTATATGGTACATTCTTAAATCCGATAAGAACCATATGTACAATTTGGACATGCATGCATGAAATTGTGATGAAATAATGCGTAATTATAGTCTTAAATTATCCATGAATGTAAAGGTATCTGATCAACTAAGAAGTGGTGTTGTAATCGTATATCTTTGATGTTGTTTGTGTGGAAAGACGTTTATAAGCAATATGTGTATGATTTTAGGATCTTGTAAGATATGACCTTCCCAGTTGATAATTCCTATTCCCAGTGGGAAATATCATAATAGCTTGTCTGTTCGTAACGCGCCAGATTTCAAGGTTTGTCTTCTCAAGTTTCTCATTTGAGAAATGCATGACTTTCTGAAACTATATATATAAAGTAGTACATATTTATATATATATATATATATATATATATATATATATATATTTGCAATAAAGTATTATATTATGTACGCAAAAGCCTTCCTACAAATATACAAAAACATTTGGTACTTATATTACATAGACAAAATATTGATATCTTGAAATAAATTCATTTGGATCCAAATATAATTTGTATGAAATATAAACCACCGAGGTGACGTCAGACCAGACTGGCGATACCATCACCAGTCTACTTGAGAAAGCGAACGGATCGTTCGCGAAACGTAGTGTGAGTACTATTGTTTTGTTTTTTTTGTTTTTTTTGTTTTTTTTTTGCTGGATCAACACAAATGAAAAATTTCATGCAAAATATTGATAGTTACCGTATTATACTTATATATTGTATAAACAATAAAATTACATTTTCTTTCATAAATTACAGTGGACCTTCATTGACTCTTTTCGTACATTTAGCCAATCAAATCAATGCATTTGGGGTGTGGTGAAATGATGGGAGAGGATAAGATGGAGCTATTTGTGGCACTTTTTAGGAGTCTAACCTACAGATAATAGTTCACGAGTTGTGGTTTAATGGCAATTCTCAAAAGTATAGAATAATCCCATACTATATATACTGTATTTTACTTATCTGTCTGTAATGCCAGATAATATAAAAACAAAGGTATATATATATATTTATATATTTATATATATTCTATTCATTTATTATTTATTTATTAAACTATCATAATACGTCTAAGATCAATAACATCAATTATCATAAACGTCATCAAACATGCAAGTTGTACGATTCGTCTATTCAGAATTCAACTATCCTCTCCTGTATGGTTGAATGGGTTTCAAGGTTGGCGAGGGTGCCTCCGTCGCGATTCATACTAAAGCCATGGATATGGCCGGGCTGGGTTGACTTAAGTCACTTTTTGATAGAAGGAAATCGTTTGATTTTAGTAGTACTCGATGGGAAGGTAATATGAACCTCATTATCTATATTAAAATATTGTCATTGTCACTTCTACTGAGTTTTAGCGTGTTTTAAGGTACCTCGCACTTTTGGTACAATACTGCAGTTATACTTCGTCCTGCCTCGATGTAGATGTCTTGCATGAATCGCGTGCCTCGCTGACTCGCAGTTTGTCAATACCCCCATTACCAAAATGGGTTACCACTAGGGCCTATTATTCGAATAACCAGGGCTTCTCAGAACTGCAAAGCTGTCAGGCCCCAGGAGTCGGGGTTTGAGCGTTTTTACCTAAATAGATGCCTAATTCAGGCGATAAGAGACATGTTAACATGTGAATATCGATCAAAATATTGGGGTTTTCAAATACACTTTATTATTTTTTTAGATTGTTTTGTCACGGGCTCCTTCGCGGCCTTGGTCCCTGGGCACTGGCCCCGCTTGCCCTCCCATCTCGGCAGTTGTGGAATTACCAATGAATGCTTCTGTATCTATATGCCTTAATTTTGCTTCTCTCCAAAAACAAAATAAACAGTATCTTTTATAAGGATGAAATTAATATATCAACGGGTTCAAGGTGTATAAGGACAGTCACGTTCAAATTTTGATATACTGCGATTAAAATGGTTATGTTATAAGACCACTAGCGATAGGTACTTTTACTTCCTTGATGAAACCCACCGCTGAGATTTTACGTAGACGTTTATTGGGAGAGGTAATGGCCTAAGGTTATTAACCTACAAAAGTGGACCAAGAAAAAGTTGGAAAGACATATTAATTTTCGACCTCATCAATCATCATGTAAATAATAGGTAAACGAAGGCGTTCTATCGGCTACATCCCAATGCTGAATATTTATACTTGGTTTCTGTGTTTTAATTGAGACAGTTTCTTCTTCTTTACGCTGCGCAGTCCTGTGTGGTCATTTTCCACAAGTTGAGTGATGCTCTCTAGACAGTTGATCATAATTGGGATAAGCCAATGAAGTAAGACATAAAAGCATCGTCATCATCATATTGGCTATCACCATCATCCTCGTTAGGTCTATCATCATCATTATCAGTAATATTTACTCTATACAGTTGATCATATATTGGCGATAAGCCAACGAAAGAAGACATAAATCCATCGTCATCATCTCATAAGTGTATGCAAGGGTGGGGGGGGGGGTAGGGAAATTCGTACGACCCCCCCCCCCCCAACTCAAACAAGGTCCACATTTTTTCCAAAGACATTTTTTCTAGGGCCTTTTCACAATGACATAAATGAAAAAGCATTGATGAGGTACCAGAAATGAGTCAAAAGACCTTGCCAATTACGTGACGTAATCTATCTCAATTACAACAATTCTGAAAATGAGCCTGCCATCCGTTTCAAGCTGGTGGCGCTGTAATCGATTGTCTTGTCTCCCACTGAGGTCCAAAAATTAGGATCACGACCCACCCAGAGAAAAATCCTGGATACACCCCTGCTTCATATTCACTACCATCCCCATCATTAGGTCTATCATCATCATCATATTCATTTTCATCATCATCAGTAATATTTATATATAACCGTTAAAATATGGCACCTATAAATGGGAAGATTAATGAATGAAGGAATTGATTGAGTTGTTAAGTATGATTTACGTTCTAGAAATTTCCATGTAATGTCCGCTCGAATGTATTATGAGAATAGGTATAATAGCAATGATGTGGTTATTTTTCTTTTTATACAAACAGATAAAATCTCTTCACAGTTATACAGTACACCAATAAATGTATTTCAGAATTCTCTATAATAGCTCTATATCTATGTTTACAAATAAATAATGAAGTAAATACTTCCTTAAATAATTACAGAAATTGGAATGACTTCATCAGTCTGTCCAGTGTGCTCAGCCAGACAACAACAATGATCCTTACAAAGAGCAACCGCTCACATAAGAACATCAAGTAAACACTGGACATGTAGGCCCATCACTACAACAATTTTTCTTTTGAAGAAAGTCAAGATGTGTATAAGAGACAGATCCTCTCCTGTATGGTTGAATGGGTTTCAAGGTTGGCGAGGGTGCCTCCGTCGCGATTCATACTAAAGCCATGGATATGGCCGGGCTGGGTTGACTTAAGTCACTTTTTGATAGAAGGACGAAAATGATTGGTACAAAATAATAATCTTGATGGCATAAAAAAAATTTAGGAATTTGGCAAGAAATGTACACAATTAACACGTGTTCCTGTGTTACTACGCCTTGTAATGAGATCAGCGCGCGAGCGTGGATATCACGTGATCACTATCACGTGATCACTCGACAGAAGAGTAATCACTCGGTGCAACATGCATACAACGTGATCCCTCGTAGCCAACCTTGCAGCTAAATGAATGAAAAACAAAATAATATTAATTATATTAATGTTATATATTATAATATGTTAATTATATGAAGGATATCTCGTCAAATGTTTAAACCAGGAGCTAATTTATCAGTGGAATCGCTCATTGTGATACTCTCAAAGATCAAAAACTGTTATCGGAGGTTGGAGTCGTTATGGTCAGTGTGGAGAAATAACTTCCACCAGCTTTACGTAGTACAAAATGGTTGCCAGTTGTGAATTTCCCGCCCGACCGACCCGAAATTATGAAAATCTATGGTCGGCTTTTATTGCATAATATCAAAAGACACACTTTCGATTACTAAAATATATATGCAGTATTAGCCTTGTTTTTACCATTTTACCAATCCATCATTTTATCGACCTTGAATTTCAAGTCAACTTTTTTTTTTTGCTTAAACATCTTCACATCACCAACACTACCGTCATAACCATCATCAATAACAACATCAACATTCAACATCGTCAGCATTTTTATCATAGTTACCATTTTGTCGCCTCACGTAGAAAGCATAAATCACGTTATGCACTTCCATTTCCATCATCAAATTACCCCAACAATATCATCGTTAATATTCAATCCATGCAATCATTACACCACATCATCCATCAACTCAACTCATTATTACACTTTGGACTTACAGGCAAAATCGATTTTGAGGGTTACCGACGTAAAAACATCTTCCTTCATGAAAACAATAATTATCATTATGACACGGTTTCTCGTTATACTTTTTACTTGACGGTGTCTTGAATATTGATAAAGATTCTGAAGTAACAACAAACAAATGCACATTGTTAGCTCGATCAGTTAAAAATAGTAGCTTGGATGTTCAAATCCTGGGTTCAAATCACACTTTCGTTCTTCTTTTTCTTATCTGCTTATATATACTGTGTGCTCGTATATAGGGTCTGTGCTAATGCATAAGAATTTGTTCTAGCGCCCTCAAATTGGTTTAACTGTAAGTGTCAACGAGTTAAAGAATATAGAACTACAATTGCAATTCTATACTCTTTGGTGTTAATATTTATATGAACTTCAATGCTCTTTCAGTTAGTTGGAGTTTATAATAATTATTCGGAGTGGAAGTTTGATTATATTAAACCCCTAGGGTACACAGTTCCTACGTGGGGTACATGTATTACTCGAGTCCACTAAAAAAAACTCAGAGCTATCCGGATTATGCGTCCCTCAGGGTTATGCCAGGATTAGGTTCAAAAGCATGCAATAGACATTATCTATTGCCCCCTGAACATTTTGTTTAATGTTTATTTAAATCAATTGTGGTCTACTTACTATTTTTTGATTCTTTTTGCATTCGCTTCCTTCTTGCCAGCGTAGATGCAAACTTTTGTATCTCGCAGTTATGTTCATCTATGCCAGAGTCGCAGTTCCGTCTTCCGTCGCATATCTTAAGAAATAAAATTTCTACTATAAACATAATGTAACGACA